TTGAGACACACTTTTTTATATTGATATATCTTTATGTGTCCTTATTGTCATATTCTATGTGAGTTTTGCCTAGCATGTTTTCATCTATGCTTGCTCCCATATGTTTGTCTTGGTTATCATTGCATATATTCATTACGGCTTTTTGATAGGAGAGCTATTCCTTATTATTTATTTCTATACTCACCATGCATATAGGTAGGGGGATCTTTCGCTTTCCTATTTTTTTATATCCTCATTTTTTATGTTGCCAAAGGGGGAGAAATATGTGAGTATATTTATGTTTTTGAGTATAATACTTTATTGTTTATTTTATATATACTTCTTGTGTAAATTATTTGTCATCATCAAAAAGGGAAAGATTGTTGGCCTTTTTGTTTTGATGATGTTTTAACAAACAATTTACAACTAATATTATTTATCTAGTGTTTGTATTTTTTTATTTATTCTAGACAAACAATTAGTTGGAGGATGGATGGAATCGAGCTTTCATGATCATATCCAATGGAGGTTGGAGGGATATCAAAGTGAAGTTATGCACAATTCAAGTCAAAGATTCAAGTTCAAGCTTCATCCATGTTTACCAAGACGAGCTCTATTGAAGATCAATCTTGGGTATAATGTTTATACTCTGTGTGTTAATGCTTAAAGCTCAAATATTATACATCAATCTTGGGTATAATGTTTATACTCTGTGTGTTAATGCTTAAAGCTCAAATATTATACACATACACGTTTTCGGTTTATCGTGTGTTAATGCTTAAAGCTCAAATATTATACACATACACGTTTTCGGTTTATCGCTTTCAAGTTAAATTATTTTTTATTTATAAAATAATGTGTTTATGGATTAAAGATTTTTTTTACACTATTTTATATCTTTTCTCAAGTCTATTAATCTATTGGAAAGTATTTCAAAACTTGTTTGGAATAAATTTCATCAAAATCAAGTTTTGACAATTTCGTATTCTTGAATAGTTTATAAAATAAATTATATTTCACAAATAGGAAACGAAATTTAAAAAATTACTTTTGTAACATGTTCTATTAAATGTTTATAATCATTTCTAAAAAGTTTATCATTTTTGGAGTTGATTTACTATACTGAATTGATTTTACAAAATCAAATGTTTCAGCAGTTTTTAGAATCTAGAATATCTGTTTTAAAACATTTATTTCTCACAAATGAGTTGTGATATTTTATAAATTCTTTCTCTAACATATTCATATACATGTCTATAACCTTCCCTCATAATTTCATTATTTTTAGAGTTTATATACTATTTTTAATTTATTCTACAAATATAGATACGCAAATTTTCAGAGTGCTGGATTTTAGGGTATTTTGGTCTTTTCAGTCTATAACGGCTAGTTTTGAGTATTTTCAGTTTTTGAGGGTTTTTTAGAATTTTTCTTGGGTTCTTCTTAGCTTTGGGTTTTTCCTATATATACCCCATCATACCTCATTTAGATCAATCATCCAGTTTTATTTTGGGAATCACTCTCCTAACATCAACTTATGTTGCCGCACCATTATGTCTACAACCAACTCTATCTCCTCTTCTCGCTTCGATAGATGAGGATGAGGATCCTGCTCCCAAATTCAAGATAGACACCATTGACGACTTCTATAACATCATAAGGCGATGTCTTGTGATTATGATGAAGAGGACCGCTAACCTAAAGACTTGCTCCGCATCTTGAATAATTGTTTGGATAGTTTTGAGACTCTATCTCATTCTAAAGTGATTGCTAGTTTAAAAGATATTTGAGGTGTGTTCATTGTTGAGGTGGTTGAATGACAAGAATTGTGAGTGCCGGGTGCTAAATGTCTTGCACAAGGCCTTCATGATCAGTTATCTGCTGATATCCAAGGTCAAGGAGCTAAGGTTCAGGAGAAGATCAAAGTATGCACCCAAGCTATTAGTGATCTAAAGGCTTAGATGGAGAATGTCTATTGCACTACCTATCATCATGAAGTGGATGTCAAGATAACATGACAATTGGCCCAGCGTGCTAATGAGCACCTGCAGTGTTGGCAATCCATGCTTGAAAAGATGTCAAAGTATTTGCACGAACTTCAAGTGGAGGCATAGTCCCTTGTTGAGGAGGATTTCCAAATCCAAAATGAGATTGCATTAAAGGAGAAGGAGATTGCGGAGGCTCAATCTAAAATTGATAACCTTGCTAATATGAGCAACACGACTCTCCATTAATGCATTCAAGAATTAGCGATTAAGGGCTTCAAGGATGAATCGTTCACCCATGAGAAGGAGCTATAAGCCATTATTGAGCAATGATATTATAGGGGTTAGGGGGTTTGTAATTTTGGTCTTGTTCTTTTCATTTTATTTCTTTTTTTCCTCTTCTTTTTTATATTATTCATCTTTTGTATGCAACACAACTTTGCTTTTGATATTATTAATAAAAACACTTATATTTGTTGTGGGTATGATATTTGATTATTGTCATATTATCTTACAATACTTCAACAAAATTCATCCGATACAATTTCACTACAAAAGAATGACTTGAGTCACCCAAACACTCCTAAACTCACTATCTGACAAAATACCAAACACCCGGAGGATTTTACATCTTTTTGTAATGTAGGTAATCTGGGGTAGTACTTCCTCAAGTGTTGGCCATTGATCGTGAATATCTAAAAATTTTCCTTCTCATCAATGAGAAAATAGGCGCCATTCAAATAGACAGACTCTATTATGATTGACCCTTTCCGTTTCTCATTGAATTCCTCTGTGAACTGTCTGTTGGGATTATTGGTCATCGCATGGTCATGAGCATGTCGTCTTTTTGGATTGTTGACTTTCTTATTGAATGCCTAGGAGAGTATTGCTTGATAGAGCTCAATGTGTGTTGAGCGGCCAAGTGGTTTTTGTCTAATGCTTCTACCTCCTAAAGGTTAAGGTTAGCATTGTTCTCGATGGTCATTTATGTTGCCAATGCAGTGCGAAGTGATGGGATTTAGGTTTCTAGCGAGATGACAGCTTCACACCCATACACCATGACGAACGGTGTATACTCTACCGGATTCCAGACAGTGGTGTGATAAGCTTATATGCATACCCCATTTCTCATCCCAGTCATGTTTGTTCCCTGAGATGAATTTCTTCATTATCATGATGATGGTCTTATTAAGGCCTCTCCTAACTTGTAACTACCACAATGTAAGGTGTGGAGGCCACATCTTCAATTAAGAACTTATTGCAGAATTGCCCATATGCATGACTAAGGAAATAAAGTCTGTTATTGTGGACTATCCATTTGTGTATGCTTAAATGGTATATTGACATGGTGTGTAAAGAAACTGGCAACATTTCTAAGTAAACTTGTTGAAGGGCTGCTAATTTCAAGAAGTAATCAGTTATAGTTAGAATGAATCTGTGTCCTCCAGTGGTCAGATGGAGATATTTTGGTGCTCGATATGACACATATATTTTTTTAATTTAACGATATTTTTTGTTAATTTCACAAACATAAACAAACAATTTCACAATTTTAATTTAACGATGTTTTTTTGTCTTGTTAATTAGATTAGGATTTTTCGTTTCTCGTGAAATTGTTATGCACCCTGGGTGCTCTAACTGGAATAGCTACCCATAAAATCTTTAAAATTTTATAATGATTTTTATAATTCAACTTTTGGTGTATAAATTCTTTTCTAAACTTCTAAAGTTTAAGAATTAAATTTCTAAATCCAAAAACAACTATATTATGAAGTCTAGTGGGATGGACATCAGAAATTTCTAAAATATCTGAAGAAAAATAGTAAAAACATATGACATTTTCCCAGAATTTTAAAGATTTTTATTATTTTTAAATAAAATTTTGATTTAAAAATAGCTTTCTTCAATTTTTAAAATTAAATTAAATAAAAACCCTTACTTACAGATTTGCCCCTAGGTTTTAAGAAACCCTAGGGGTCTGATCTAGGTGGCAGTGGCGACGATGCTGCCCAAATGTGTCAGACGCCACCCCAATGTCAGGGTTCAACGCCAAACGAACAACTGCCTGTGTTCGCCGACGGCAGTGGACTAAGCTAACCCGCACTGGTATCCCACACGGGTAGCGCTGACGTCCTTTTTTTGAAAGAAAGCCCCCATCATATAATGGACGCAGTGCAAGCAATGGCAGGCCTCCCGGTGCATTAGCACCGGAGCAACAACCCACCGGATCCCCCCACCACCGCCAGCGCCCTTGGCACCGGCGGTGGCCAATATAGTTTTTTTTTCTTTTTTTTTGTTTTTTTTCAAAGAGATCACCTGCACTTGGGTGTTGGCGGTGGTGGGGTGGCTGGGAACTCTAGGGCCCCTAGCGTCGGGGCCCCCAACCTTTGGTTCCACCACCGTCAGCACCTTAGAGTCGACGACGATGAGATCTACGATTTTCAAATTTTTTTAAAATTTTAAATTTTCATAAAATAGAAAAAATGTTTCAAAAATTCTGAAAAAATTTAAATTTTTTTAGATCTCAAAAAAATGTAAGAAATCCTTGATTTATTAATAATTTCCCACTAGTTCATAAAAGTTAGATTTTTAATGTAGATATGACATCCCGGTGTCAAAATTAGATTTTTACACCAAACGATTAATTTTTAATAAAAATAAATCTTTTCATAAATAAAAATCCTAAATTTCTATTCCAGGGACCAACATCACCATCAAGAAACTTCAGATCTAATGCAATAATATACAAAATAAAATATATACAAAAATGCAATTAGATCTAAACCATATAAACAAGATAAGATGCAAACCCTAATCTCGCTCTGATACCAATGTAAATCGTGTATAATCATACATAAAGATAAATAATTCTCTTGTATAGAGATTACGTTTTCCGAATGTAATCTCGCCCTGAGCCCGCTTAGTACCCACCAACTCAATTGGGTAGACCGCACCGTTACTAACAATAATAAATACTTTAAAAAGTAAAATTAGTTGGGCACAGGGGGGATTTGTCATGTACGTTGTCTTTTCCTTCTCAGCATGCGTGCGTGCGCTCTGGTGCTGGAATCACAAACGCATCTTCCCAAATTAAAAACACAAGAAATTCAAGAGCAGGAGGTTTGGTGAAAGAAAGAGGCTAAAAAAAAAGAGGTTCCCTTCGCCTGCAACTTTCCTTTTAGCCCGGAACTCCTTTCCTCTGCTACTCGACAAACATCTGGAATCTGATGACTCAACGTTACCCCTCATCTGCTTCATCACTTTATAAATAGGAGCGTACCTAGTTCTTTGGTACCTACTCTAGCTATTATTCACTACGGATCGTTCACCAATCTCAGGTTTTGTATCCTTTTTTTTTTTTTGTCTTCATTAATTCTACGGGGGCATTTTTACGAACACTAGTTACAGTTATCTTAATTCTCTTAATTATCTCACCTTGATATAACCTCTTTTTCCACCCCCATGAAGCAGAAGGTAAAGAAATGGCTGTTGATCTCAGTATTCCAGTTTACTCCGCGAGCCAGGTATAAGTATGTGGATTAAAATTAGTTGTTTTGACTTGAGTCAAATTGATTTTGGAACTGATCGAACTGAACTATGACCCAAAAATATAGCCTCACTTTACTGGATGTTTGTTTTGGTTTCTGATGCAACTATGACTTGGATGCGCTAGGTGCTCGAAAAGTTGCAAGGGAAATGGGACTCAGGAAAGAAGCAACCCTACCCAGCAATGTATTCGAGCTTCTTTGGTGGGATTACCCTTGATCCGGCAATGATGAGTATTCCCATCGATGATCACATGGTTCATAGAGGCCATGGTGTTTTTGATACACCTCACCATCACCTAACCCTCACCCTCACCCTCACCTTCACCCTCCCCTAACCCTAACCCTAACCTTAGCCCTCAAACTCACCCTCACCCCACCCTCCACCCTCCGACCTCACCCTCACCGATCTCTAACCCTAACCATACTTTGATTAATTCATCTGTTTTTGATCCGGCAATGATGAGTATTCCCATCGATGATCACATGGTTCATAGAGGCCATGGTGTTTTTGATACTGCCATGCTCATGGACGGGTGGGCACATTTCCTTTACCATTTAAGTTTTTGATGTTTCCCGTTTACTTCAATCCACAATTTTACGCAGTATTACCTTTGCTGCTGAAATACTAAACTCAGTACTGTATAATATTTTAGTCATGTCCTTCTTCCTGTGCATGATATAGCAAGATATTTTACAGGAAAGTGGAGAAGATATATAATGGTGTTCAAATCATGTTTGTATAGTGATGGAAAAAAATCCCAAATATACATCTATAGCTAGTTTTGGCATTTACACAAAGTATTGTCTTTCATTTTCGCAGATATGTTCAAGTAATGATATTTTTATGTAGTTTTGGCATTTACACAAAGTATTGTCTTTCATTTTCGCAGATATGTTCAAGTAATGATATTTTTATGAGCAATTAAATTACCCATGACTTTTCTCATATTACTCTTGCAATTTGTTACTTCTTGACATGTTTAAGAGTGTGCGAAACATAAAAGAGGTAAGGAAACAGTGGACATGGGAGAATATCACCTGATTTGTAAGAACTTTTGCCTCTAATGGTTATAAAAAGTAATAAGAATGTCCAAGTTTGAACTAAATGTAACTATTGCACTGCCTCAACTTGTTTGCTCAAATCCATATATCCCCATCATTCATTTGCTAAAAAATTGTAATTTGCGATTAGTATCTAAATTGCTTGAGAGTTCTTCTATATCGAACTTCTTCCGGAATCATCACATAATTTCTGGATAACTTTCCCTTTTCCATCTTCTTCTTCTTCTTCTTTTTCCCCTCCCTTCTCTTTCCTAATGAGAATTAATTTATATTTTTGTACAAATCAATTATGTGATCCATGCTGGATGGGTCATGTGTTTTTCTATCATCTTCATGAATCCTTTTCAAATTTGACAACTATGATTACCGTTCATTATCTCATCCTAACCTGTATTGGTAAATATATTTTACTCTTGAGAATCATTTTCTTCTCATTTGATCAACCATGCATTAGAGGTATGTTATTCACACAACTCAGTTGATGGTTATCTTCCGTGCTTTTTTTGTTTTCATAACCTTCTTATAGACTGCATAGATTTTCCATATAAACATCAATCCATGTAAATTGACTTAATGAAGATTAAGTTCTGTTTCATTACATAACTGAATAACCTTGAATATTCAGCATACTTAGAAAAGTAAGCATGGAGTAGATAGAAATTTAAGGTATCTGCCAATTATTTTTTATAAAGTTAACAAAGGATAGATGACATGAATGAGCAAAAGGAAGTCGTATACTAATGAGATTTCTAACTTTTACCTCAAGTGTTGACCATGATTATTTCTCAAACTCATGCAAAAGTATCTATCCAATTATCAGTTTGGGATTTAAGGCTTTTAAGCTCTTGTATCCTTTAACCAGTTTGCTGCATTATGGTGCTGCTAGGATATCAAGTGCTTCATAGATGCAGATAACAATTGCATACTTTTTCCACTTCTTCACGTCTTTCATGCTCCAGTTCTTTAGAGTTAATGATAGTGTTACAGCTGAAACTCAACCATTATGTTTAAAGCACATTGCCGTTTTTTAAGTGCTCTGTTTGAGAATTGAGAATAAGAAACTAAAACTACAGTCTACATAATTACACAACAGATAAACACTACAGAGTTTGGCCCTGTGTTTCACTTCATTGGCAATGAAACTAACTCAAACTATAACCTAGAGGATTGGATGCATAAGATATACAAGGCTATCACTTTGTGCAATGTGTTTTTTTTTTTTAATTTAAATTTTTACAGGGGAAGCAGTAGCATACCTATAAAATCCATCTCTCTGTCACTATACTTATATTTCTCTCTCTTTTACATACCAACTACAGATACTTATATGAGCTAGACACCCATCTCGACCGGTTCTTGAGGTCAGCTGCAAAAGCGAAAATATCGTCCCCCTTCCCTCGTGAAACTCTGAAAACCATACTTATCCAGATGACGGCAGCATCAAAATGCAAGAAAGGCTCAATCAGATACTGGCTGAGCGCAGGGCCTGGTAACTTCTTGCTATCATCAGCAGGCTGTCCTGCGCCTACATTCTATGCAGTGGTCATCGATGATGGCTTTTCTCAATGCAAGGAAGGAGTGAAGGTCATCACATCCACTGTTCCCATGAAACCTCCTCTCTTTGCAACAATGAAGAGTGTCAACTACCTTCCTAATGTCCTCTCAGTGATGGAAGCTGAAGAGAAGGGCGCCTTTGCCTCTATATGGGCTGATGAGCAAGGCTACGTTGCTGAGGGTCCTAATGTCAATGTTGCATTCATAAGCAAAGACAAGGAGCTTCTCCTTCCATCGTTTGATAAAATCCTCAGCGGCTGCACGGCCAAGAGGCTTCTCGCTCTGGCACCTAAATTGGTTGAGAAGGGCCAACTGAAAAGTGTGGGAACTGGAGACATTACTATTGAAGAAGCGAAGAAGTCTGCTGAAATGATGTATGTAGGAAGTGGGCTTCCTTTATTACCTATAATTGAGTGGGATGATCACCCAGTTGGGGATGGTAATTACTTCCTTTACTTATCTAGTTTAATTGTTATCTAATTAGCTTCCCGTTGAATGAGTTCCTTATGGAGCTTGGCTTCGTAAAAATTTTATGAATTTTTTTTAACCAGTTATACACCTGATGTCGACACTCTCATGTTATTGCCAAATTCATGGCTCATGAAACTATAGATAAGAGAGGATAATATTAGAATCTACGATTAAGAGCTGACCTTGAACCCTCTGCATTTCTAATTTGTTTTTTTATTTTGACTGTAGGACGGGTTGGGGAGCTGACACTGGCCCTCTCTGATCTTCTATGGGAGGATATGACTTCTGGGCCGGGACTGCAGAGGGTTTGCGTGCCTTATGCTGAGTGAGCAAGGTGAATTACAGGAAGCTAAGCATCTGGGAGAATTCGCCATTGTAATATGGTACTTAAAACTTATTGGACACCTAAATCTTAGTCTCCTTTTCTTTGTCGCGGTCATTCAGCTTATGATTTTGTCATGCCAAATTGTTCCCGTGTACTATGCGTGTCTTGTTCTGCCTGCTCCTTTGTGTAGTTTGTGTGTCAATGTATTAGTCTTCCTTTACGAGTGAATTATGTGCTTCGAGCTTGAACAAAGATGTTAAGTCGATCTGTTTCCCTTTTGCTCTCCCTCAGTCTGTGTAATAGCTGGATACACAGATCACTTTCTGTGATTGTGTCAATTAGTATTTATGCTTGTTAGTTGCTGCATACTCGATAACCGCTGACGGAGAGGTGAAACTCTCCTTCCAACTCATTTAGAGGCTCAAAAGCATCGATCGGCTGTTTAACCGAGCAACAGCCCACCTGCTAAGCCGACTGCATCGAATACGACCGTGAGAAGTTATGGCGTCTCTTTTGAGTAAGAGCAAGAGCATCAAGCTCCCAGTTGGGAGTCCTAGTTAGCAAACTCTCAAGAGCTCTCAAGCATTTTAGAATAAAAAATTAAAAAAATAAGTCTTGGGAGGCTCTCCTTCTTTTATGGAGCTCCAATAAGCTCCTAGTTAGGAGCTCCAACAATATCAAAAAAACCTCTCTTCTATTTTAATATTTTACCCATTACTTTCAATTATATTTAAACCTCTTGTATTTCATTTCTAACCATTGGATACTTTCAATTTTAATATTTTACTACGCCAATTTCTTTTTCAATAATGAAGTTCTTTTCATTCAATGTCAAATTTTTTAGCTTCAAATACAATCATAAAATTAATCACAAAATAATATTTGATAATTAGGAAGAACTAATGAGGATGTGATGCGAGTACAATATATGCTAATTAGGAAGAACCCTTATACATCCACCTCTCCAATATCTCTGCCTGACGCATTTCAAAGTATTACCGTTGAACTGAATTGAGTGTTGAGAGATCCATCTTCATGATACTGTCATCTTGTTTCTTCTGTTTTAGCTCTATTTTTTCTTTGTTGGTTTGCTTTATCCACGCAAAAGCCTCTCCCATGATGGACTTAGCGGACTCAGAGTTTTCCACATTTTGTTTCCTCTTGAGTTTTGCCACTTTCCTCCCTTCAGGCCTTGCTATAACATTATCCGAGTCAGTGTTCAACTCGATGGGGGTTGCTGGCATGGAATTGTTGGGTGAGGAATCAGAGTTTGTGGTTCTTCTCGACTATGATCGAATTTTATTGTAAGTTTCTATTTTTTGGATCCACTTTTGATGATGACGCAACTCAACCCAGCAATGGTCAAACACGAATGGCTTACCATAAAGAGATTGGTATAATTCTTTTACTTCTGCAGTCTACACAAGAATTAAATTTAGAAAAATCAAACATATAAGTTAAATATTTACATAAAAACATATAAGTTAAATATTTACCTGGTCAATAATTCCTTTACCAGATCTTTGTCTTCCTTCAATCTGAGCAACGCACCCGCAGAACTTGTTGACAGACAGTTGAATCGTTGACCAACGGTGCATCATTTGGTTTGGTGAGCGATTCGTTGGATCAGTAGAGTATTAGATAAAGTAGTCGTTAGCTCTGTGCCAAAACTTATCTTTGTGTTGCCCCGTCGCTTGGATGGCGTCTTGGCTCGTGTTCAGCCAAGCAGACACAAGAAGCTTATCCTCGTGGACAGTCCGATTTTCGGACCGCGTGTAAACCTTCTTATTCTTTGTGGTCGGTGTAGGCGTCTAAAAATGCCTATGGGTGCCCGCACACAGCTCAAGACAAAGAGAAGGTGATGAACGTCGTTATCCGAATCAAAGAGGATTATCCAATGCCGACAAGCGCATAAAGCAAATCGGCAAACTGTTGATGACACGACAACGAACCACCACAATGGAAAACACCAAGTGGACCGCACGCGTTAATCAACTCAAAGCATACAAACGCGCCCAACAGTCAGTTAACACGCACGCATCATTCAGCTCGTGCATGTCAATCAGTGCGCGCGTCAATCAGTTCACGATGGCGTCAATCAACGTACATTAATCAACTCGCGTAGAGCATACAAGTCAACACGACGGATGAGTAAAACGGGAGAAACTACAAGTCCTGGAAGATCGGAAAAGTCGTAAAACACAAGAAATCAGCGAAACTCAGCGCGCCGCGCAGGACGGACCAAACCGACCCGCGCCCGTGCGGGTCGGAATGATCCGACCCGCGCAAGCGCGGGTCGGAATGATCCGACCCGCGCGGGCGCGGGTTGGTTTGGTCCGTCCTGCGCGGGGCGCTGAGTTTCGATCGGGTTCGGTTTTTGATGATTTTTCTCGAGATTTGTTGGTTCCAGAGGTTCCCAACTGACTTGATATCATCTACAAACGTGGTTAGGCTGTTGTCAACTGAAGATAGAGCCAAATCACTTGTTCTCATCCAAATAACCGCATTCGAGGCCTATAAATATGAGTCAAAGGCCTCCATTTTTCAGGGGCGATTGATTATCAAGACGAGGAGGTGCTGCCGGATTGAGGAGTCAAGGAGCACGAATTTCAGCGAAGGCAAATCAGATCCTGGCGAACTTCGGCATAAAGAAGGAGCTATTCGAAGGATCTGAACCCCGTTCGTCCGTCCCTTGAGATTAGGCTTGGTCTTAATCTCGAGAAGAGCCATGATTTCGCTTGGTCGATCTCAGCGCTTCAAATCAAATACTTCCTCGACGAAGGCGAAGCTCTGCCGAATTTTCCATCAACCGGATCCAGATCTAAGGCGGTCCACGGATAAACCCCGGCACAGGCAAAGATCCCACGCAAGCAGAAGATCGATAAACGATCTCTGCGTTTGTTTTGTCGCAACCTCGGATCTGCATCCCGGTTGAAGAAGTGGTCGAGTACGAGTTCGACCAACTGAAGTTCGAGGAATATCTGTCGTCCTCCTCCTCCAGATCCTCCGCCTCTCGCAAGCGAAGGAAGATCAACGCCCCCGTTGTTGCGGTAGCTAAACCTTACAACGCCCTTCCGGCCTCCAATGAGTCCGGATCTGCAGATCTGAACTCCTCCTCAATCAAGGAGTTGAGTACAGAAGGCGTGCCTATTTTATCAAAGAGAACTCGTCAAAGGCAGCGCCAACGCTGTGCGCGCCAAATCGCTAGAGCCTTAGAGTCAATTGACGGGATCCGTTACGAGGCGGATCTGAAAATTAGGCAACGCCAAGCACCCCAACAGCGGACAGATGTCCTTCCCTCCAAACCAATAGCAAATGAATGGATCCAAATCAAAAGAATCCGTTCAACTCTGGAGGAGCGAATTCAAAAGCGTCGCGCGCTTGCGCGCACGCGAATTCTTGTGCAAAAAGCACAAAAGATGCAGAAGAAGGACATAGCTAAGAAACAACCAAGACTGCATCAAACTTGGAGACCAAAATCTAAAACGGCAGCCGAAAAGATCGAGAATCGCGGGTCACTTCAATCCGACCCGCTAATTTGCAGGTCACTTCAATCCGACCCGCCAATTTGCAGGTCACTTGGAACCGACCTTCCAAATCGCAGGTCACTTGGATCCGACCTTCCACTTTGCAGGTCGTTTGGATCCGACCCTTCAAATCGCAGGTCACTTGAATCCGACCCTCCAATTCGCAGGTCACTTGGATCCGACCCTCGCCAGAGTCAAGGCAGAAGATGTTCTACACCTGTTTCGTCGATCCCTGTGAGTTCCGTACCTCCGGCGGGGCACCGTGACAACGTGGATTTGTCCCGATTCAAAGTGAGGATAGTCGATCGCCTGGGTCCTTTGCACGAGGATCGAGGCAAAGTTCTGATCGAAGAATGCTTGGGTCCGGTGACTGAACCCCGAGCGATTCGTCGAGCTGGGGGTCGCACACGCCCTCATAACAATTTCAAGCCTTCTCATGAAGGGAAAACTCCAATTTCTACCCGGTCACTCCAATCCGACCCGCCAAAATGCAGGTCGCTCCAATCCGACCCGCCAAAACGCAGGTCACTCCAATCCGACCCGTCAAAACGCAGGTCGCTCCAATCCGACCCGCCAAAACGCAGGTCACTCCAATCCGACCCTCCACTTTGCAGGTCACTTGGATCCGACCTTCCAATTTGCAGGTCACTTGGATCCGACCTTTCAAATCGCAGGTCACTTGGATCCGACCCTCCACTTTGCGGGTCACTTGGATCCGACCCTCCACTTCGCGGGTCACTTGAATCCGACCCTCCAACCCGTCGGTCACTTAAATCTGACCCGCGCCAGGGTCGAGACAGAAGACGTTCTGCACCGGTTACGTTGATCCCTTCGAGTTTCGCACCTCTGGTGGAGCCCCACGACAACATGGATTTGTCCCGATTCAAGGTGAGGATAGTTGATCGCCTGGGTCCTTTGCACGAGGATCGAGGCAAAGTTCTGAGCAAGGAACGTTTGGGTCCGGTGACTGAACCCCGAGCAACTCGTCGAGCTGGGGGTCGCACACGCCCTCTCAACAATAACAAGCCTTCTTATAAAAGGAAAACTCCATTTTCCACCCGTCTGAGGGTGTATATTCAAAACCAGGAGCCTGTTGAGATCTTGCGCTCCCAAAAGTGTAGTTCTAAACATGTGACTCTTGAGAACGCTGATAAAGCAGCAAATCCCCTGAAAGAAACGTATTCATCTGACGATGACAACGTTATACTTGGGGAGTTGTGTCAACGTACGATAGGTTGCTCTGGTCATCTGACCGATGAGTTGTACTATCGGGCTGGGGGTATGAACAAGTCTCGGAAGAGATATACCCGAGAAACAAAATCTCACTGCCCGTGCGTCGAACTTATCAGGGCAGTATTATCAGTGTGTAGCTGCCCCAAGACCGCTCCGCAGAGGGTCTCGGTATTTGAGAGGATCTCCAACGGAAAGGATAAGTCTAATCTAAAGCGCCTCCGTAAGAAACGATCGGTCGTTCAAGGTGACGAACCCCCAGAGGTTACCATCAATATGGTTAATAAAGGAAAATCAATTCGACCTTCTAGCTCTGACCTGCTTGTATCGCATCGTCTAACCCGGTTGCGATCATGGACCACTACCAAAGAATGCAGAGAGGGTTATCCTCGGATGATGAAGTATCGGATGCTAACTCTGCAGTCGCTTCCAAAGAATGCAGAGAGGGTTATCCTCGGATGATGAAGTATCGGATGCTAACTCTGCAGTCGCTTCTGAAAATACGGTATCTAGCCCAGGGCAATCCCG